GCGCTCCCGCGGCGGCCGGCGGCGGCGAGGCTGAGCAGGGCGAGCAGCAGCAGCAGCAGCAGCGGCCAGAGCCGGCAGCGCTCCCGGGGCCGCATCCCGCCCCACCTGCGGGACAAGGAGGGGAGGGGGCGCTGAGGGTCGGCCCCGAGCGGGGAGAGCCGGCCCCGAGGGGATCGGGGCTTGCGGGTGGCTCTGAGAGGGGAGGGACAGGGTGGGGAGAGGGTCTTTGTGGGGGCGGTCACGGGTGGGACTTGGTGGCCTCAAAGGTGTTTTCTGAATTTTGGGGGGGGTCTGAGAGCGTTCTGGGGGTGGTTCTGTGGGGTGGGGTTCTGTGAGGCTGGGGTTCTGTGAGTGTGGAATTCTGTGTGGAATTCTGTGAGCGTGGAATTCTGTGAGCGTGGAATTCTGTGAGTGTGGAATTATGTGAGTGTGGAATTATGTGAGTGTGGAATTCTGTGAGTCTGGGGTTCTGTGAGTGTGGAATTATGTGAGTGAGGGATTCTGTGAGTGTGGAATTCTGTGAGTGTGTGATTCTGTGAGTGTGGAATTCTGTAAGTCTGGGGTTCTGTGAGTGTGGAATTATGTGAGTGAGGGATTCTGTGAGTGTGGAATTCTGTGAGTGTGTGATTCTGTGAGTGTGGAATTCTGTAAGTCTGGGGTTCTGTGAGTGTGCAATTCTGTGAGTGTGGGATTCTATGAATGTGTAATTCTGTGAGTGTGATTCTGTGAGTGTGGAATTCCGTGAGTGGCACAGGCAGAGATCAAAGCCCCAAACTTGGTGTTATTAACACCAAGCTAACCTCAGTGGCTTTTATCTCAATCTACTGTCTTTATTTATTTCTATTTTATCTTTATTTACCTGTCTCTATTGTCTCTATTTATTTTATATTATTTCTATTTATCTCTATATTATCTCTATTTATCTCTATATTGTCTCTATTTATCTGTCTATATTTTCTCTATTTATCTCTGTACTATCTCTATCTCTATATTGTCTCTCTCTCTATGTTTCTCTATTTATCTCTCTATATTATCTCTATTTTATTATTTAAACATTCATTTATTGTTTAGGTTACTATGTATTATAGATAATACAGAATATATAAAAATATGTGATCAATAACCAATGATTTCTAATAGAGACCATTAAAACAGAATAATAGATAATGTGTATTATATATAAATATGTTATTATATCATTATATTATTGTATTATTATACTGTATTATTATGTCATTACATTATTATATTATATTTTATTATTATATTATATTATGCTATATTATTATATTATATTATATTATATTATATTATATTATATTATATTATATTACATTATTTTTGCATTATTATATTATTGTGTTAATAATTATTTCATTATTATATATTATTATATTAATAAGTGTGGTATTTTATTATATAGTTCTATATTACTATATTAATAAATGTGGTATTATTTTATTACATTTTAAGGTATTTATCCCTATTTTTATCTATTATATTGACACGTAGTCAATGATTCCAGTGGCAGATTTCCCTCCCCATAACAAGGAGCTCTTCTGGCTGATCTTTAAGTCCTCTCCCATCCCAGAATCCCACAACTTAACCCATTATTTCACATTTTTACCTCATCCCATCCTTCCGACAAGCAGCGACCGCGGGCACCGGGCGGCGAACAACCCCAAAAATCCCCAAAATCGGGCGGGAGCGGGGTGAGATCCCCGGGGGCTGAGCAAACACATCGTGACCATTGTGCCGGAGCTGCTGAGCCATCGCGGCCCCGGCAGACAAAAGCTCGGGGACAAAGCCGAGCCCCCCCGGCAGTGACATCCCTGTGTCAGCGATTCCTCCCCCCTGGAAGCTGCCAGGCCCGGCCCCCCCGCCTATCCCTTCCAAAATGGAAATTCGTTTCATTTGTCTCTTTTCCCTGCTCCACTCCTTCGGTTTTTGGGGTTGTTTTAGGGAAAACACTGAGAAGTGTCCCCCCCCCCCCGCTTCCAGCTGTTGGCACAAAAACCACAAAAACGGGCGGCAAATCCCACAAAAAAACCCCGAAATGAGGATGGAGTATCTGGGGGGGCACAGGGATAAAAAAAAAAAAAAAAAAAAAAAAAAAAAAAAAAAAAAAAAAAAAAAAAAAAAAAAAAAAAAAAAAAAAAAAAAAAAAAAAAAAAGGATTTTTCAACCCCGGAATAATGCAAAACCCACTCTGGGGATGCCAAACCCCACTTTTGGAGGAAACACCACAAAACCGGGCAGCAAATCCCACAAAAAAACCCCGAAATTAGGATTTCCCCTCCTCTCCAATTCCCCAAATTTCGGGATCAGCAGGCAGGGAAAACCCCGGGGCTGCTCTGCCCATCCCAACCTCCAGCTCCGCTTCGTGCCAAACAAACCCCAATTATTTTTCTCCTCTCTCCGCACCCGATCCCTCCTCTTTTCACCCCAAAAATCGCGGGTGCTGCCCTTACCCGTGCGCCGGGGCTGCCGCTGGCTCTGTCCGGGCTGGGCTGGGCTGGCTGCGGGGTTTTGCGGGATTTTCCCGCTGGGATCAGCCCAAATCCTGCCCCCCGTGCGGGGAGGGCTCCGGGACAGCCCCGGCTCCGCTTCCAGGAGGCAAAAACAACCCGGGTTTTACTGCCGGGAGGGAAATACCCTCGGGATGGAGCCTGTGGATGGCGGGGAGGGACAATCCCTAAGGGGGGGTGACACCTGAGGCTGCCCAGTGCTCCCCAAAAATCCACCAGGAATGGAGGTGGGAGTTTAAATCTGGGGGGTGAGAGCGTTTCTCCTTGGGGAGAAACTTCTCCACTGGTATTCAGGATTTATTCTTTTCCTTCATCTCATTTTTTACCCATTTCCATGGCATTTCTATCCACAAAAAGTGATTTATTTTGGACAAGCCAGGCCCTAAACCTGCCCAGTGTTCCCCAAAATTCCTCCAGGAATGTAGGTGGGAGTCTAAATCTGGGAGGTGAGAGCGTTTCTCCTTGGGGAACTTCTCCACTGGGATTTATTCTTTTCCTTCATGTAATTTTTTACCCATTTCTATAGTGGTTCTATCCACAAAAAAGTGATTGATTTTGGAAAGCCAGGCCCTAAACCAGCTCAATATTACCCAAAAATCCACCAGAAATTTAGGTGGGAGTTTAAATCTGGGAGGTGAGAGCGTTTCTCCTTGGGGAACTTCTCCACTGGGATTTTACACTTCTCCCTCATTTTTTACTTATTTCCATGGCATTTCTATCCACAAAAAGTGATTGATTTTGGAAAGCCAGGTCCTAAACCAGCTCAATATTACCCCAAAATTCCTCCAGAAATTCAGGTGGGAGTTTAAATCTGGGAGGTGAGAGCGTTTCTCCTTGGGGAACTAAAAAAAAAAAGGATTTTGAAACCTTGGAATAAGGCAAACCGCACTTTGGGGATGCCAAACCCCACTTTTGGAGGAAACACCACAAAACCGGGCAGGAAATCCCACAAAAAACCCCGAAATGAGGATGGAGTATCTGGGGAGGCACAGGGATCAAAAAAAAAAAAAAAAAAAAAAGGATTTTGAAACCTTGGAATAAGGCAAACCGCACTTTGGGGATGCCAAACCCCACTTTTGGAGGAAACACCACAAAACCGGGCGGCAAATCCCACAAAAAACCCGAAATGAGGATGGAGTATATGGGGAGGCACAGGGATAAAAAAGGATTTTTCAACACTGGAATAATGCAAAACCCACTCTGAGGATGCCAAACCCCACTTTTGGAGGAAACACCACAAAACCGGGCAGCAAATCCAGCAAAACCCCCCAAAATTAGGATTTCCCCTCCTCTGCACTTCCCCAAATTTCGGGATCAGCAGGCAGGGAGAACCCCGGGGCTGCTCTGCCCATCCCAACCTCCAGCTCCGCTTCGTGCCAAACAAACCCCAATTATTTTTCTCCTCTCTCCGCACCCGATCCCTCCTCTTTTCACCCCAAAAATCGCGGGTGCTGCCCTTACCCGTGCGCCGGGGCTGCCGCTGGCTCTGTCCGGGCTGGGCTGGGCTGGCTGCGGGGTTTTGCGGGATTTTCCCGCTGGGATCAGCCCAAATCCTGCCCCCCGTGCGGGGAGGGCTCCGGGACAGCCCCGGCTCCGCTTCCAGGAGGCAAAAACAACCCGGGTTTTACTGCCGGGAGGGAAATACCCTCGGGATGGAGCCTGTGGATGGCGGGGAGGGACAATCCCTAAGGGGGGGTGACACCTGAGGCTGCCCAGTGCTCCCCAAAAATCCGCCAGGAATGGAGGTGGGAGTTTAAATCTGGGGGGTGAGAGCGTTTCTCCTTGGGGAGATTCTCCACTGGTATTCAGGATTTATTCTTTTCCTTCATCTCATTTTTTACTCATTTCCATGGCATTTCTATCCACAAAAAGTGATTTATTTTGGACAAGCCAGGCCCTAAACCTGCCCAGTGTTCCCCAAAATTCCTCCAGGAATGTAGGTGGGAGTCTAAATCTGGGAGGTGAGAGCCCACATTCTCCTTGGGGAGATCCTCCACTTGGTTTCAGACTGGTTTTACTTTTTTTACTCGTTCTATCCACAACAAAGTGATTGATTTTGGAAAGCCAGGCCCTAAACCAGCTCAATATTACCCAAAAATTCCTCCAGAAATTCAGGTGGGAGTTTAAATCTGGGAGGTGAGAGCGTTTCTCCTTGGGGAACTCCTCCACTGGGATTTTACACTTCTCCCTCATTTTATACTTATTTCCATGGCATTTCTATCCACAAAAAGTGATTGATTTTGGAAAGCCAGGTCCTAAACCAGCTCAATATTACCCCAAAATTCCTCCAGAAATTCAGGTGGGAGTTTAAATCTGGGAGGTGAGAGCGTTTCTCCTTGGGGAACTCCTCCACTGGCATTTTACTCTTTTCCCTCATTTTTTACCCATTTCCATGGCATTTCTATCCACAAAAAAGTGATTGATTTTGGAAAGCCAGGCTCTGACTCGGGGGATTTCATTCGGCATGAAGTTGCTACATATTTTATTTTATTTTATTTTATTTCATTTCCTTGTTAATCCACGCAGCAGTGCCACAATCACCCTTCAAACACACCAAAAGCTCCTCTCGCTGTACAACACTTTCCCCAACGTGAGTCAAAGGTGGAAAAGGTACCATTAAAATTAAAAATTCAAAAAAAAAAATAAAAAGAAAATTACAAAGATGCATTGCGAAAACTCAAAGGGAAGGGGGAGGAAGTCAGAGGTTTAGTTCACATCGAGGTATAAAATGGGTATTGCTGGTTTAGCCTGGGAGGAAAGAAAGAGGTTTTTTCCAGCTGCTGCTGCTGGTGGAGCCAGCCTGGCCCTGGTTTCACCAGGATAATTTCCTGGCACTGCTGGAAAATGGATTTGGAAAACAAAATCCTCTTTATTTCTGCCTCCCCCTCCTCCTGCCTCTGCCCTTTCCCAGCACCCCTGGAGATGCTCGGGGCCCTCAGCCATCCCTGCGAGTGCTATTTGGCATTTTCAGCTCCCAGAGAGGTTTGACATCGTGGTTTTCTTCAAAATCCCTAAATATTAGTGCAAATTACAGCGGGGGGGACGGAGGGGCTGCGCCACAGCCACGGCTTTGGGGAAGGGGCTGGGAAAAATGGGATTTTCTCCTGGGCTGGAAATGCCTCCAGGAGCCCCCAGGTCAGGGTTAAACCCCCCCCAAAATCACAGGCAACCCTTTGGATTTATAAAATCCTCCCGACACCTGGGAATTATTGCGGTGACAGGGCAGGAATGTGCTTTTCTCTAAAAAAAAAAAGAGGATTTTTTTTGTTTTTTTGTGCTGTCTTGCTGCCGAGCAGCAGGAACTCCACTGGGAGCCACGTCGGGCATTTCCAACCTGAGCCCCCAAAATTCCAGCTCTGGAACTCTGGCAGCCCTCACCTCGCTGCTGCTGACAGATTTCCTCTTTTTTCTCTTTTTTTTAATATTTTTTTTCCCTGTGTTTTCCAGGGATTCGAGGTTTTGGCTGAAGCTGCTGCCAGCCAGAACCTTCCTGGGAAGAACCCCCGAGGATTCCTGGGGATGGGGGCGTGGGAGGGGGCTTGGCTGGGGGCTGGAGCCACCCAGGGGGGCAGCGGGGGCGTTTTGGGGTCGGGATTTGGTGCAGCGCATCCCAGGGATGCTCACATGGCCGTGGGGCCCTCGGAAATCTCCTCCAGCCTCTGCTCGATCATCAGCCGCAGGATGGAGTATCTGGGGAGGGGGAAAAAAGGGATTTTTTCAACCCTGGAATAATACAAACCCCACTCTGGGGGTGCCAAACCCCGCTTTTGGAGGGAACGCCACAAAACCGGGCAGCAAATCCCACAAAAAAAACCCAAAATCAGGATTTTTCCCTCCTGTTTTTCCCCCCTCTCTACTTCCCCAAATTTAGGGATCACCAGGCAGGGAAAATCCCAGTGCTGGAGCATCCTGGGGCTGCACAAATGAGGTTTTTTTAGGGATGTTTTCCCTCCCAGCATCCCCCCAGCCCCACGTACTTGTGCTTCAGCTTCTTCACTTCCCGGTCCTCCTCCTCCTCCAGCTTCTGGATGAAGCTCCTGAGGATGGGCATCTCGAATTTGATGTACTGGGCGACCTGGGTGGGACAGGAGAGGCAGGGGATGGTGAAGAGGGGGGTGAACTGACCCACCCCCCACCCTCTCTGCAGATTTAACCAAAGATCCCAAAATTTTGTTGCAAACCCTAAAAAAAAAAAAGATGTTTGTGACCATCAGCTCGCGCAAACAAGTGGATAATGATGGGGAAAAGATCCACCTGAGGTTTATTTATTTTAATTTGCCCACTGGCTGCTGCAGGTGGCTCTGTCTGAGTTTCAGAGCTGCTTAATCCCAAATTCACCCCAAAAGTGCCGGGTTTGGGGCGGGATTTCAGAGCACAGGGGAGCTGCTGCCACCGCTGGAAAAACAATTCCTTGGAAATCCCTGCTCCCTGAGCACAGCTGGGGGGCACCGTGGGGCTGGGGGCTGCTCTGGGAACAGCTCCGGGAATTTCCCGGGGGGTTTTCCTGGCAGACCCCGCAGCAGCAGAGCAGCTCCTGCAGCCCCAGCCCCGGGGATAAACCCTTCCCTGCCAGGATGAGGAGGGGCTGGCTCGGAATTCCCAAAAAATCTAGGCTGGGCAGGGCTTGGAGCCACCTGGGGCAGCGGGAGCGTCCCTGCCGTGGCAGGGGTGGCACTGGGTGGGCTTTGGGGTCCCTCCAACCCAAACCTGTGACTCCCCACCCTCCAAACACATATATATATATATTTATATATATATATAAAAATCTGCATTCAGATTACATATATATATATGTAACCTGAATGCAGATTTTATACATATAAAGGATTATATATATATAATATAAACACTTCGGTATAATATAAGTATTTGCATATCGCATAAAAATTCAGACATATTCATATGCAGATTTTATATATAAAATGTCAAGATTATATATAACATAAAGATTTAAAGATTCCTATGGAATCTGAATGCAAATTACATGTGTATAATAGAAAGATAAATAAATAACACAAATATAAATTGATAAACACATTAATATTATATATATATAAATACAAAATATAAATAATAATTTACAAGGATAAATATAAAATGTATGAAAATATAATATATATAAATATAAATAAATTTTTAAAAATGGATGCAGATTTTATACACATAATTTTAAAAAAAGGTTTTATTTACTGCAGCCACAACACGACCAGCCCTCCGAGCAGGGGCGGCGCCCGTACCTTGAACTTGTTGAGCAGCAGTTTGAGCACCTGCGGCGTGGTCATGGTGCTGTTGATGCGCACGTTGGTGACGGAGCCGTAGGCGGGCGTGAACACCGAGGTCTGGGGGCACGGCCGGCACTGAGAGCCCTGCCCGGACCCCTGGATCCCCCTGGATCCCCTCAGATCCCCCTGGATCCCCCTGGATCCTCCTGGATCCCCTCAGATCCCCCTGGATCCCCTCAGATCCCCCTGGATCCTCCTGGATCTGTGGATCCCCCTAGAACCCCTGGATCCCCCTGGATCCCCTCAGATCCCCCTGGATCCTCCTGGATCCTCCTGGATCTGTGGATCCCCCTAGAACCCCTGGATCCCCCTGCATCCTCCCAGATCCCTCAGATCCCTGGATGCCCTGGATCCCCCTGGATTTCCTGGATCCCCATATCCCCTGGATCCCCCTGGATCCTCTGAATCCCTGGATGCCCTGGATCCCCCCGGATCCCCCTGGATCCCCCCAGATCCCTGGATGCCCCTGGATCCCTCTGGATCCCCAGGATCCCTGGATCCCCTCAGATCCCCCTGGATCCTCCTGGGTCCCCCTGATCCCCCTGGATCCTCTGATCCCTGGATCCCCCGGATCCCCCTGATCCCTGGATGCCCTGGATCCCACTGGATCCCCCTGATCCCCCTGGATCCCCCGGATCCCCCTGATCCCTGGATGCCCTGGATCCCCCGGATCCCCCTGATCCCTGGATGCCCTGGATCCCCCTGGATCCCCCTGATCCCCTGGATCCCCCTGGATCCACTTGGATGCCCCTGATCCCTCGATCTCCCGGATCCCCTGGATCCCTGGATGCCCTGGATCCCCCTGGATCCCTCTGGATCCCGGGATCCCCTTAGACCCCCTGGATCCCCCTGATCCCCCTGGATCCACCTGGATCAATTTCTCAATTCCTCCTCCATCTGGGGAACTCAGAAAACACCACACTATTGTTATTTTTAATTACATCTGTTCTCCATGTCAGAATTTGTAAGCTTGTGGTGTTACAACAACAACATAATCTATGTTTTCCTGCTCATCAAAAACCCCTTGACAATAATCCCCCACGAGCCACAGGCACAAACATTCCACTCAGAGGCAAACAAGTGACAGCACAAGGTGGAATTTTTGATTTTTGGGTAATGCTCCCAGCACGTGGCAGGATTGTTAAGTTTTGGGGAGCACTCCCAGGGTGGAATTTTTGATTTTTGGGTAATGCTCCCAGCACACGGTGGGATTGTTGATTTTTGGGGAACACTCCCAGGGTGGGATTTTTGATTTTTTTATACCCAACAATCCAAGCACAGGGTGGGATTGTTGATTTTTGGGTAACAATCCCACAGTGGGATTGTTGATTTTTGGGCAACACTGCCGGGGTGGGATTGTTGATGTGTTAGGTCAAAGATCCTTGTGGTCCCTTCCCACTCAGGACAATTCTGTGATTCCAGAGTTTTCCTGCTCCAAAGCAGCCTCTGGGAGGATGCAGAAATCCTCACCCCAAGATCAAATTTCCTCACCCCCCATGAACTTTCCTTTAAACCACAACAAGCAGTTTATTCTGCCCCAGCTCCCGAGGAAGGTCATTAATTCAGAATTATCCTCCTAAATCCCTGCTGCTCCCTGGATCAAACCCCTCCTCCCGGGAGCTCGAGCATCTTCCCTCTCTTTTCCATAATTTAACTCCCTCTTTAATGAGAGCAGGCAAACGAGGGCAGAGCCTCAGATCTCTGCATGAAAACTGGCCTGGATCCAGATTATTATAAACCAGCTCTTCATCCATTTTTAATGAAGCTCTCAGGCTCCAGCTCCGGGGGTTTTAATTCAGGACATGTCTGCAGCAGGGAGGAATCTCTGGCAGGAGCTGCTCCAGCTGCACAAACGATGACTGAGCACTCCCAGGTGCACGCCAGGCACTGATTCTTACTGGATTTTAGGGGAAAAAATGGAATAAAAGGCTTTTTTTCCTTATGTGCTGGCAGAGGATTGAGGCCATAAAGCTGAGGGGAGTCGTGGTGGGGTGGGCGCTGCCTGGGAATGATTTAATTCAGGTGGGAAAAGTGTCGTGAGTGGGGAAAGGAGAAAAAAAAAAAGGGGAAGAGTTGGGGGTTCCTGGATCCAGATTTGCAAGGGCTCAGCTCCTGGTGGATCCCAGCCTGATCCCGGTGGATCCCAGCCTGGTCCCGGTGGATCCAAGCCCTTGGACCACTCCTGGTGGATGTGATCCTGGTGGATCCCAGCCTGATCCCAGTGGATCCAAGCCCTTGGACCATTCCCAGTGGATCTGATCCTGGTGGATCTGAGCCCTGGGACCAATCCCAGTGGATCCGAGCCCTGGTCCCGCTCCCAGTGGATCCAATCCCAGTGGATACCAGCCTGATCCTGGTGGATCCAATCCCAGTGGATCCGAGCCCTGGTCCCGCTCCCAGTGGATCCAATCCCCATGGATCCGAGCCCCGGTCCCGCTCCTGGTGGATCCAAGCCCTTGGACTGCTCCTGGTGGATCTGAGCTCCGGGACCGATCCCAGCAAATCCAAACCCAGTGGATCTGAGCCCTGTTCCTGATCCCAGTGGATCCGAGCCCTTGGACCACTCCCAGTGGATCCAATCCCCATGGATCCGAGCCCCGGTCCCGCTCCTGGTGGATCCAAGCCCTTGGACCATTCCCAGTGGATCCAATCCCAGTGGATCCAAGCCCTGGTCCCACTCTCGGTGGATCCAAGCCCTTGGACCATTCCCAGTGGATCCAAGCCCTTGGACCACTCAAAGTGGATCCAATCCCAGTGGATCCAATCCCGGTCCCGCTCCCGGTGGATCCAATCCCAGTGGATCAAAGCCCCGGTCCCGCTCCCGGTGGATCCAATCCCAGTGGATCCAATCCCCGGTCCCGCTCCCGGTGGATCCGAGCCCAGCTCACCTGCGCCGTTCCCGGGATTCTCCGTGCCCCTGCTGCTGTCCCCGTCTGTCACCTGGATGTCCGGCAGGGTGCTGGGCTTCAGCACGGACCTGGGGGGCACAGAGAGGGGTGGGTGCCCCGGCGGGGGTCCCTGCCCGGGGTCCCTGTCCCTGCGGGGCCGCAGAGGGAAGGACAATGCAGGGAATCTCTGTCCCTCATCCCCGGCTCCTTCTGGGACAAAAATCCTGGAGGAGGCAGCTGGGGGTGCACAGCCTGCCAGGATGGGGGGTTTGGGGCTGTCTGTGTGGGTTTGGGGCTGTTTGTGTGGGTTTGGGGCTGTTTGTGTGGTTTTGGGGCTGTTTGTGTGGGTTTTGGGGCTGTTTGTGTGGTTTTGGGGCTGTTTGTGTGGGTTTGGGGCTGTGCATTTTTGGGGCTGCCTGCCCATTTTTGGGGCTGTATTTTTGGGGCTGTGGTTTTTTGGGTCTGTGTTTTTTGGGGCTGTGTTTTTGGGTTTGGGTTTTTAAGGTTGTATTTTTGGGGCTGTGTTTTTAGGGCTGCCTGCCCGTTTTTGGGGCTGTGTTTTTGGGGCTGCCTGCCCGTTTTTAGGGTGTGTTTTTGGGGCTGCCTGCCCGTTTTTGGGGCTGTGTTTTTGGGGCTGCCCTGCCCTCACTCACCCGTGGGCGCCCAGGTTGCAGCCCGAGTGCCAGGAGGAGGAGGAGGGTGGCGGGCGGATGCGCTGGTTGTCGTCCTGCATCTGCAGGCGGATGGGGCGGCGCAGCCCCCACGAGATGTTCAGCAGCCCCTCCACGATCAGCTCCCCTTCCTCCTGCAGCCAGATTCACACACAAAATAGTATATATATATATATATATAAAATGCAAATTACATACATATATATAACTATAAAGCTACAATATCAATATTATATCCATAATATCAGTGTGGCATTCCCAGAGCAGCGGGGGCTGGAGCCCCCGGGCCAGCGCAGGTGTCCCTGCCGGGCCAGGGGTGGCACACGGGGGATTTTGGGACCCCTCCCACCCAATCCCCGTCCCGGGCTCCCCAATCCCCTCGGCTCTCACCTCCCGGTGCCGCAGCTGCAGGTTCTGCCCCTCGTAGTAGATGTTGTAGGTCTTGAGGTGCAGGAGCAGCTCGTTCCTGGGGGGAAAAAATGAAAAAATGGGGAAAAAGGTGCCGGGATGGTTTTGGGGGAGGGGGGAGATGCCGCAGGCACCGCCGGCGACCCCGGAGCTGCTGCTGGAAATTCAGGAGTGGCCGCCCTGGCTGAGGAGCCCTCCGTGCTGCTGGGGACCCAAATCTGCTTGATTTGAGGCAGATTTGGGTCTTTTTCCTCCTCCCCTGCTGAAGGTTTTGCCGGGGCTCCAACACTTTGCAGCCAGTCCGGGGGAGAAGCTCCCCGCGAGGGTGTCCCCCTAAATCTCCCTAAAAGGAACCCCAAAGGAGCTCGGGGCAGTCGGTCACGAGGCTGAAAACGGAATCCTTTTATCCTTTTATCCTTTCATCATTTTATCCTTTTATAATTTTATCCTTTTATCATTTTATCATTTGATCAGCTGTCTGGGGTCACGCTGGCGTCACGAGCGGTCACGCAGGGTGGTCACGCCGGCCTCCCCCAGCTCAGAACAAAGCTCTGAGGGGCAAATTGCTGTCCCCTCCTTGTCCCCTCCTTGTCCCCCCGTGTCCCCCCCATGTCCCCACCCGTGTCTCTCCCTGTGTCCCCACCATGTCCCTGCCATGTCCTGCCCGTGTCCTCATCTGTGTCCCACCCCTGTCCCCCCGTGTCTCCACCTGTGTCCCCTTGTGTCCCCCACTGTGTCCCCACCCATGTCCCGCCCTTGTTCCACGTCCCCGACGTGTCCCCTCGTGTCCTGACCCATGTCCTCACCCTGTGTCCCATGTCCCGTGTCCCCCCGTGTCCTGCTCCATGTCACCACCCATGTCCTGCCTGTGTCCCCCGTGTCCCACCCATGTCACCACCCTGTGTCCCATGTCCCGTGTCCTGTGTCCCTCCGTGTCCCCCTGTGTCCCATGTCCCATATCCCATGTCCCATGTCCCATATCCCGTGTCCCGTGTCCCATATCTTGTGTCCTGTGTCCCCCCCATGTCTCATGTCCCCCCATGTCCCGTGTCCCATGTCCCTCCCCTGTCCCCTGTCCCCTGTCCCCCTGTGTCCCATGTCCCCTGTGTCCTGTGTCCTGTGTCACATGTCCCCCCATGTCCCTCCTTTGTCCCATGTCCCATGTCCTATATCCCCTGTACCCCTGTGTCCCCCCATGTCCCCTGTTCCATGTCCCATGTCCCCTGTCCCGTGTCCCCCTGTGTCCTGTGTCCTGTGTCCCCTGTCCCTCTGTGTCCCCCAGTGTCCCGTGTCCCCTGTCCCCTGTTCCATGTCCCCTGTCCCGTGTCCCCCTGTGTCCTGTGTCCTGTGTCCCCTGTCCCGTGTCCCGTGTCCCCACTCATGTCCCGTGTCCCCACTCATGTCCCCTGTCCCGTGTCCCCCTGTCCCCCTGTGTCCCCCTGTGTCCCAGAAATAGAAATAAAAATGGAAATAAAAATAGAAATAGAAATAGAAATAAAAATGGAAATAGAAATAGAAATAGAAATAGAAATAGAAATAGAAATAGAAGTAAAGCTAAAACAAATTAAAAATGAAAAAAATTACAAATTAAAATACAGTGAAAATAAATAAAAAAAATAAGAATAAAAGTAAGAATAAAAAATTTAAAAAATAATCTAAAAACTAAATTAAAAGCAATACAAATGACACATTAAAAATTAAAATTTAAAATAAATAAATAATAAATTGAAAATAATGCAAATAAATTTAAAAAAAATTCTGAATTTAAATTGAAAATAAATAAATAAATCAAGGAAACCTAAACCGAAAAATAAAATACTTAAAAATTACAAGAAAACAGATATAATTTAAAGAAATTGAATAAATAAATAGATAAAAATCCGACTTAAACCTACAAATAAATAAATAAATAAATAAATCTATTAATGAATGAATTAATTAAGCCCTCCCCGGAGTGGAAAAGGCTGGGCAGGGCGGAAGCAGCGACATCAGAGAAGAGCAGAGGCGCCGAACGCTGAAAATTTAATCCCACCGGGATCTCCTTACCCGAAATTTGCATTGGCAGCGCCCGCGGGTGGGAGGGGAAATGGGAATTGTTCCTTTTCCCCGAGTTTTTTACTCTTTTTCCACCCCTCAGAGCCCCCAGGGCTGGGGCTGCTCCCGTGGGGCGTCCCAAGGAGGGATTTTGGGATTTTGGGATTTTGGGATTTCGGAGCAGGCAGAAATTCTGGGCTGATCCTTCGCGGGTTTTGTGGTGCCAGCCGGATTTTTGGGCCGCAGAAATGTTTGGGAATTTCAAAATCCCACCTGGGATAGGCCCCGGCTCGGAGCTCGGGGCATTTTTTGGGTGGAATTGTTGGGGTTTGGGGTGAAGCCCTTGGGATGCTCACTTTGGAAATTGGGCTTCAAAGAGGCCTCGGAATGGGGAACTGGGGAGGTTTGGAATGATGGGAAAAGGGTTTTTTTGGGGTCCTGCTTTTCCTTGGATGGGAAAATTTCGTTTTTCAGGGTCTTTTCCCTCCCTCCCCTTCTCCCGTGAGGCGTTTGCTCCTCAAGGCGCTGATTTCCTCCACCTCCCACCTCGCCACGTGCTTCCTCCCAGCCCCCTGGGACACAAAAATCTCTTTTCCTGCAAGAAAAAACCCCAAATCCACCCCAAAATCCGGGCAGAGGCAGTAAAACCCGTCAGGGGATGAACCCAAACCCTAAATCCCCCGCAGGGCAGCAATCCTGGGGCTCCATCCCTCACGTTGGGATAAACCCCCGGGGAAAAAAACTGATTTTCAACAGCAAAAAAAATCCTCAGTGGCAGGAGGGGAAGGGCAGGAAATCTGCCTAGCCCAGCCCTGGGGCTCAGAGAAAAAGCAGAAGGAGAAGTCAGGACCGAAAATTCGCGGAAGAGCTGACAAAGCTCTGGGTTTCCTGAGGAGCTGCGGGAGGATTTTGGTAAAATTGGGTAAAATCCGGCAAAATTTGGCAACATCCGGCACCAACTGTCCTCCTGCAGCCGCCTCCCACAGGAATAATCTCATTGATCCACCAAAAACGGGACCAGGAGGGTTTGGGGCTCCCCAGGTTTGGGGGGCAGGAAGGAGCTGCCCCTGGTGGGTATCCCCTGGCAAGGGCTGAAAGCTCTGGGGATGGTCAAGGAGGATTAAAGGATGTGGCAGATGTGAAAATGGTGCCAAAAACACCCAAGGGAGTGAAAAAAAACCCCTCCTGGAGCAGCAGAAACTCCAAAGGGAGTGAAAAGAACCCACCTGGAACAGCAGAAATTCCAAAGTGAGGGAAAAGAACCTTCTAAGAGCAGTAAGAACAGCAGAGGGAGTGAAAAAAAACCATCCTAGAGCAGCAAAAACAGCCAAGGGAGTGAAAAGAACCCTCCTAGAGCAGCAAAAACAGAAAAATGAGTGAAAAGAACCCTCCTAGAGCAGCAAAAACAGAAAAATGAGTGAAAAGAACCCTCCTAGAGCAGTAAAAACTCCTAAGGGGGTGAAAAGAACCTTCCTGGAGCAGCAAAAACTCCAAGGGGAGTGAAAAGAACTCTCCTAGAGCAGTAAAAACAGAACAAGTAGTGAAAAAACCCTCCTGGAGCAGCAAAAGCCCCAAAGTGAATGGGAAAAAACCTCCTGGAGCAGCAAAAGCAGCAAAGGGAGTGAAAAACCTCTCCTAGAGCAGCAAAGGGAGTGAAAAAAACCCTCCTAAAAGAGCAAAATCACCCAAGAGAGTGAAAAAAAACCCTCCTGGAGCAGCAAAAACCCCAAAGTGAGTGAAACCCTCCTGGAGCAGCAGAGCCAGGGCGGAGCCCTCGGCACCGCTGGGATCTCTGCTCCAGAGCATCCCGGGGATGCCCCGGGGCCAAGCCAAAATCCCAAATCCCTCGGAGGGGACACGGGGATGGACCGGAGCTGTAAAAAAGCTCCTGGTCTGGGGTGGGAGGGGAGCCCCGAGCCGCAGGTTCATCCTCCCGTGCCGAGGAGTTTCCTGTTTACGCCCCGGCTCTGCCACCTTGGCCTCCGTCATCACATCCCCTTCCTCGCGCTGAGGAAAGGGGCAAATTCTTCCTTTTTTGGGTCTGGAGAGAAAAGCGGGCCGGGAGAGGAGGGGAGAGGCGGCTCCGGGAGAACTCCGGGCACTGCCGGCCCCGACAGCCCCGCGTGGCTCCGGGAGAGGCTGGGAATGACCCGGGACAGGCTGGGAATGACCGGGAGAGGCTGGGAATGACCCGGGACAGGCTGGGAATGACCCAGGAGAGGCCGGGAATGACCCGGGAGAGGCTGGGAATGAACCCGGGAGGGGATGGGAATGACCCGGGAGAGGCTGGGAATGACCCGGGAGGGGCTGGGAATGGCCGGGAGAGGATGGGGATCACTCGGGAAAAGCTGGGAATCAGCGGGAAATGCCGGGAATCACCCGGGAAATGCCGGGAATCACCCCAATCAAAGCGCCGGCCAAGTGGAAGTCGCTGCATTGCTCAACCCTGGCAGTCTGGGGCCGTGTCCGTTCCCGTGCCTCAGTTTCTCCCCCGGAGCTGGCGCGGTTCCGCCGTGCCCAGCCCGGCCCGAGCCTCTCCCGGCGCTTTCGGCACAGCTCCGGCTCAAACCCCGGAGGGCTCCTGCCCTTCTGCCTCCTCCCGGCTGCTCCCGGGCCTGACAGAGCCCGGACTTGTTCCCCTCCCCAAAAACACCCCCCAGACCCCCCTCTCGCACCCCCGAGGGAGCCCGGCCGCATCCACAGCCCCAACACAACAAAACAAGGAAAAAAGTAGCAAAACCCCCCCCAAAACCGCTTTTCCAGCAGGACAGCGACGTTCATCCCCACTCCTGCAAAGAAATCTGCTTTTTTGGGGGGGGGGTTTTGCCGCCTCGCTCCCTCCCCACCCCGGCAGCATCCCCGGCTGGAGCGGGAGGCGCGGATTTGGCGCAGCCGAGGCATTGTGGGAATATCCCGCTCCCCGGGGAGGCCGCGGTGCTTCCCGCAGCCCGGCGCGGCTCCGGAGCGGTGCCCAGGGCGCTCCGGTGCCCGGAGCATCGCCCGGACGCCTCCGGGCCACGGCAGCGGCGGGGCCGCGAGCGCTCACCCGGTGCCGCGGATCCTGCGCTCCCTGCGCTACTCCCGGGCCGGGATCCGCGCCCCGCGTCCGGCCCGCATCCCTAGGCGGAGAAGCGCGGCCGCTCCATTGTTTTCCACGGCGCTATTGTTCTCCGTCCTGCCGGGAGAGAAGGAGGGAGCGCCGAGCGCTGAGCGGGACGGGCCCGGCTGGCTCGGGGACGGGGGGTGGCACTCGGCGTGGACCCTCCGGGAGGGTGGCCAGGGGGTCCCGGTGGGCCCGGGAGGGACGGGCAGAGGAGGCGCCGTGCCCGGAGGGAGCCGCGGGCGCTGCGGCTGCTCCCGGAGGAGCGGAGGGCGATGCTGGGGGCGCTCGGGGGGGGCTGAGGTGACTCCGGGGCTGCGGGGTGGGATCCCGGAGGTCCCGGAGGTTTTCCGTCAGCTCCCGGCGGCGGCGGGGCCGCGGCTCAGCCACGGGGCCGCTCCCGGCGCTGCGGACGGGGATGGAGAGCGGGATGGGGACGGGGATGAGGATGAGGATGATGCCCCAGCCCGGCCGCACTCACCCGGTGCCGGTGGCGGTGGCGGTGCCGCTCCGCTCGCTGCCGGTGCCCCCGTGGGGCCGCCCCTGGGCGGGACGGGGAGGGACGGGGCGGGACCGGGGGTGGCAGCGCGGGGGACACCCCCGCCCGCAGCCGGGGTCATCCCGGAACCCGGATCCCGGAGGGCATCCCGGCTCCCGGAGCCCTTCCCGGTGCCAGGGCTGGGCACCCCGGAGGATGGCACCGCCGGGAGCCGGGTTGTGCCCGC